TCCCTGACAGCCTTGTCTCCCTTCTCCACACGCAGACAGAGAGCTTTTACACTGCAACCTTCACATTTAATTCACACAATTTGGTTTGTTTCTCTGTAGCAGTCAAGTAAAATGAAAAATTAAGCTCTGTATATTCTGGAAAGCTGTCTGATTAAGTGCCAGGTTGCTTAACTGTGTATCTGTAAGCATACTGAGTGGAAAGAACCCTAGAGAGGAGAGAGTTGACAGTACTGAAAAACATCTGCATTTTTAATAGTCCTCTTTTAAAATTGGCAAATGATAATTTTCTACATAAGCAGTTTTAATTTATAGAAATCTAGCCCCTAAGATTAGGGATACCCTGTTTGTGCCCTTTCCACATTAAGGAAAGGTTGCACTGCCATTGTGTATTTTGTGTTTTTTTTTCTCATTAGTATAGTTTCCTCAAAAGCAGATGAGCAGGGTTGCAAGAAAGGAGAGAAACAATACCCTACCCCAGACTGTGCAGCAGTTACCAAAGTTAGGAAAGTGAGAGAAGCAAGGTGTGCACCTGAACTGCAGTGCTTCACATTGAGTTGGTTCCTTTCATTTTGCCTGTTTTCACAAGCAAGAATGTACACAAAAGCCAGTGAACTAAAGGAACCTTCAAATAGTGTCCAGGTAAACAGGGTGTACAGAGTTAAGATCCAGCCATAGTCTGGGATATTGTAGTCCTAAGGAAAACTACCATAATTAGAAGAAAACAGCTTGTTTGTTCTCTTAAGGAAGTTAAGATGAGCACAGACTCTTAAGATAATGGATCAAACATGAACTGATAAAATAGCTGAACAAGGTAAAAAGAAAGCTGGCAGATCTAAGGGGAAAGAGTGCAGGAATAAGCAGTACTCTTGGAGAAGTTGAAACCACATTGGCAGCAGCAAGAAATAGAGCAGACCACAGAAGAGAAAGGTCAAAATTAATTAATTAATTAGTTAATTAATGACAGTAACTAGGGTTTGAAATCGGGGCCTTGAGTTTACTAGGTAGGCACTCTACCACTTGACTCACTCTCCCCTCCTCTTCTTTTCCATCCCCCCTTCCCTTTCTTCCTTGCCCTTCTCCTCCCGTCAGGTCTGCTCTCTTCTCCCTTCCCTTGTTCATGCTAAGCATAAAATGTAATTTAATTTTACTAGCTTCAGTTTTTATATCTGCCCATTTTCTTTTCATAGAAGAGCTCAAGGACTTGGGATATAGCTCAGTTGTAGCGCACTGGCCTAGCAGTACTATTATTTAAAGCTGGTAAAATGAGAAAAAGGCAGTCTCTAGTAAAACTAAATTCCATTTCAGTATTTTCCAGGTACCCAGTGCAAGATCAGGAGTGGCTAGACCATATAATAAATACAAATCCAAACAAATTTGAATGTTTACATTTCTTATAAATGAAGATGAACTTTGATAAAAGAAAGAAGTTCTAGACCCCCTGTGCCGGAGAATGTGAGTGGATTCTTAACATCCTGCTGCATTGGCCTCGGCAGTATTTGAAAGCTCTTCATTGGTTCCTAGTGTAGATCTTAAAGCTATAAGCTCAGTTGTACTATCATTAAGAAATGTACTTAGGGTGGAGGAGTGGCTCACATGGTAGAGAACCTGCCTAGTAAGCCTAAAGCCCTGAGTTCAAACCCCAGCACTGGAGAGGAGAAATACTACATATGCATAAAGTGAAGAAATTCAGATTGACAATTGAAAATATTAAAGTAGTTAAGAATAAGTTTTCTGAAAAATTTGCAAGCCTTGCATGGTAGAAAATGTAAAAACATTGAGAGACAAAATAAGAATGGGAATTAACAGGAACACTTTTATGCTATGGAGTTAATTCTTCTTCAATCAATTTATTTGTAAGGCTGGGTGCAGTGACTCACTCACAGCTGTAATCCCAGCTATTGGGGGGGTACAGATAGGATCCCAGTTCAAGGGTATTCAAGCAATAAAGTAAGTGAGATCTTGTTTCAAAGAACCAGCCAAATGTGGTAGTGCACATATTTGTCATCCCAGCTGTCCAGGATGCACAGGTAAAAGGATCGTGATCTGAGGCTGGTCTGGGCAAATAGCACAAACGAGACCCTATCTGAAAATAGAGTAAAAAGGGCTGAAATGTGGCTCAGTGGTAAAATGCTCACTGAGGCCAAGTTAAAAAGCCCAGTATCTCAAAACAAAACAAAAGAAAACAAAACAAACACATACACAGTCTTAATATAATTGTAGTAACAGTTCCAACAGAATTTTCTTTCTTTCTTTAACAAAGTGATTATATACTAATTTGAAAAAACAGTGAATTAATCGCAGGCTTAAGTTGAGAAAATTAGAATTCTGCCAAGCACTGGTGGCTCAACACCTGTAATCCTAGCTCTTCAGAAGGCAGAGGTCAAGAGGACTGCAGTTTGAGGCCAGGCCAAAGGGGATGGGGGAGTGAAACCCTATCTCAAAATTACCCAACACACATGGGCATACACACAGACCCACAAAGGGGCTGGCAGAGTAGCTCAAGTGGTAGAGGTCCTGCCTAGCTCTGGATGAAGAGTAGGAAAATTGTGTAAAAGAAGTGTGATCAAGGAACCCTGCTAAATACTAAGAGTCTGTTTGAAACTACACTAACGGGCAGGTGGTAAATGATGGTAAAGAGTGAGAAGTCCAGAAATCAGCTCATGTAAGTGTACAAACTTAGTAAATAGCAAAGAGCATGTTTACGATCAGTGAGGAGAGTTAGATTGGTTAGTTATACTTCAGTGAGACGCTACTAGGTCTAGGGTGTAGTGAAGTGATAGAAAATAGCAGAAATAAAGTCCTCTAGCAGAAAAAATATAAAATAGCAATTAGAGAGTGAGGTAAGTGCTACAAAGCAATAAAAAGCACCAATAGGACGTAATGCAGAGGAGTCATACCTCATTAGAGGGTGATAAGCTGTTAGAGAAGACTTGGCTAAGAAAGTGAGGCTTAGCAGAGACCTGAAGATAAACAGAAATATTTTAGTCAGATGACCACCATTCCCTAAGTGGTTACCTATTTGGATTAACATGAAAGGGAGGAATTCCAGTGTTACTTCTTTTTGTGAAAAAATTAATTCAGACTGAATCAGGAATTACAATGGAAAAAATTTAAGGGAAAAAATAAAGTTGGGCACCGGTGGCTCACAGCTGTAATCCTAGCTACTCAGGAGGCAGAGATAAGGAGGATCGTGGTTTGAAGCCAGCCTAGGCAAGTAGTTCACGAGACCCTATCTCGAAAATACCCAACACAAAAAAGGGCTAGTGGAGTGACTCAAGGTATAGACCCTGAGTTCAAGCCTCTGTACTCAAAAAAAAAAAAAAAGAAAATCTAAATTAGGAATGAATTTTCAAAAAAAATTATTTGTTCTCTTGAAGCTTGGTATGAAATCTAGAAGTCAAAAAGGGATTGCTGGACAAATTTGCCTACATAAGAATGGAAAGTGATAATTAATTAACGCCATTAAAACAAGGTTGTAGACTAGGTAGGAACTGGGGTTGAGAAAAGCAGTCCCTGAGATGGAGAGTCATCACTCCTCCTAGTTACGCACTGAACTAACTCATGAAACAGGGCAGGGAATGAGACTTTTCACAAAAAAATATGTCCACTTTCACTAATAAAAAAATTCAGGTTTAAAGCCCAGGTGGTAAAGTACCTGCCTAGGAAGCATGGGACCCTGAATGTTCAAACCCAAGTACTGTCACCAAAAGGGAAAGAAGGCAAGGAGGGAGGAAGGGAGGAAGGACAGGAAGGAAGGAAGGAATTTAGATGTTTTCCTCTATCTGTGGGCTAAGAGTTTAACAGTATTAACATACAGGGAATATTATGCAAAAATGAAAAATAATGCTTATTATTGAAAATACCGGAAATCTGGACTGGAGGTGTGACTCAAGCAGCAGAGCACCATTCTAGCAATGAGTTCAAACCCAGTACCCGCTCCCCCCCCCCCATAAAACAAACAAACAAATCTCTTTGAGTATTTTTTTTTTTAGAATCTTCCATATGTGTACGTAACATAGTTATCAAAATTTTGGGTAAAGCTAAAAGTAATGGAACAGATTCTGCATTACTATTTTAGCTGGTTGTATTCACTCACAATTTGAAAGTTGTGTGTGTGTTTTTATTAAATCTATTGCTTTTCCCTTTAGACTATTAAACTATTTCAGAAGACCAGGGACCATGTCTCATCTGGTTTAAAGGGAACATTGTGCTAGGCATTTATCACTGTCCTCTGTCAAGACGTTTGAAATTTACTAAAAACTCTAGCACTTGGCATACCATACTCTAGGTGTCTTAGACATTGGATTACTTTTGTATATTTAGGTGCTTGTTTTGTGAAAAGCTGGTAGATAATTATTTACAAAGTTTTAAGGTATACTTCTTTGTCTTCTCCTTCCTCCCCTTTCTCAGTAAATTAAAAATATTTTTAAAAATACATAGAAAACAAGTCTTGAGTAGAACGAGACACAGTCGTTTCATTTTTAAAATTATTTTTGGGGTAAGGTATGCTTTGTAAGTGGTTTACTAAAGCTAATGTATTTGAACTACTTTGACTAAGATTATTAATATAATGAATTCATTTGTACAAAGTACAGCCTAGTATTTTAAAATACTATTAGTTTTCATAGGTGACACTAGCAGTGGCACAATTTTCATCCTTAAGTTTTAGTTGTAATACTGTTAAAATGCAAATAGCCTAACTTCTCAGGACTCTTACTTAAAAACAAAGTTGAAAAAGTCAAAGCAAAAACTCAGTCTACTTCTCTCTCTCTCTCTCTCTCTCTCTCTCTCTCTCTCTCTCTCTCTCTCTCTCTCTCTCACACACACACACACACACACACACACACGTTTGCTACAATTTGTAAGCCATACCTCTCCTATGCTTTGACAAAATGGTTATGGTCTTGGTTTATTTTAAATTCAGTTACAGAAAATCAGGTTTTTGGAGAGCTCTAATTGTACTATTGCTGGGGCTCTCATCCTTTTTGTTTAAATAATGCAGGTACTTTGATGGAAACCTGGAGAAGCTCTTTGCTGAGTGTCATGTAATTAATCCAAGTAAAAAGTCTCGAACACGCCAGATGAATACAAGGTCATCAGCACAGGATATGCCTTGTCAGATCTGCTACTTGAACTACCCTAACTCGGTGAGTATCTGGTAGTTTAAGGATAGCACTGACTCTGCTTCAGAGGGTAAAGCTTTCAGTATTTAAACAAAGGAAAATCTGAAGGTCTCGGAGTAGTGACCTATCAATGTACGGAGGATACAGACATGAAGGGAAGAACAATAACTTGGCTCTTCTTACCACTCCCATCACGTTTGTTTTTAAAACTTGTCCAAGTTGTCATAAATAACTCATTCTTTCTGGAGTTTATTTTACCACCTCGGGGGAGAATTGTGTAATGGGTAGTGTGTAAACTATTTTTCATCCAAATTAAAAAATACTCAAGACTTAAAAAAATCCAAACCTTTATAAAATGTTTTTAATTAGGGCACTTTCAGAATTCTTCATAAAAAAGAGATTTTCACTTACGCAAATCAGTTTTGATGGAGATTCTTAAATATGGGAAGTGGTAACTGAGTTAGAAGAGAATAGACCAAATAATACATTTCTCTTTAGAATACGTATCAATCTTAAAATTTTATTGAATTGAGATGGTTTACTTTTGGAGTGTTTAGTGAAGAGGTTTTAGGTTGATAAACATAATCTTTCTATGAATGTACTTTATTAGTAACCATACAAAAATTATATTTGACATATAGGTGTTTGGTTACTTGGAATTAATTTCTGAGATATTTCAATATCTCAGAAATTACCCAATTTTCAGTAATGACAACTGAATCATTGATCATTTCTGCCTTAATAGAGAAGCAGCTCTTTCTAATTATTACTGTATGCCAGGTCTTTTTAACCTTTCAAAGAGTTTTCATTGTTTATCTTAAGAGTTTTAGATATATATGTCTAAAGGGTTCCATTTGAACAGAGCTCATTTGTTCAGATGTATAACTTACTAGACAAGAAGATTTTTTTAACTTAGCCTTAGTGACATAGAATGGTGAGTGAGTTAGTTTACTAGTTAAAGCATGGAACTGACTCCTAAAGTTCCGATCATAGCTCAGACACTTTGTATTTGGCTTTGGGATCAGATAAATCATTCAGTCTCACTTGGGGTTCCAGTTTCTTTCAAATGTGTTGACTGACATATTCTTTCAGATGTCTTCCAGCATGAGAATAGTATCACTTCCTTTTCCTTAAATTATAATTTTTACTTGAGTATTTATTAAGACAACCAGTATTGCTATTAAAGTACATTAAATTTGGGTTTGATAGCTTTATTATCTGTAACAGTTAATACTTATTAGTGCTTACAGTTTATGAGGTAGTACTAATAATTTGTCCCATTCATTGGCATTTTTCCTCCTGCTCTAGTATAGTGAGTGAGTCTCTCCCTTATTTAAATCTGAAGTTTCATTTGAGCACTGAAGCTAGCTGCTTACTTTTATCTACTGTAACTTTCCCTTTATTGTCCAGTAGTTTCAACAAATTAGAATCAAGAATCATGAGTAAGAGATTCGCAATGTAGATTTTTTGTTTCTATTTGTAACTGATGTTGGAGAACTTTCTGTTCGTTAACATGCCACACACTGTTTCAAGTTTTAGAAACATAACGGAGGAAGTTCACATAATTTTTGTTTTCAAATAACTTACCTGTTAGGTGTGCAGATAAGTCAAATGAGATTCAAAAATAAGGGTTATACTTTAGAGGGCAAACACAAGACCTGATATTGTAGGAACATGTTGGAGGTATGATGGTCAGCTTTCCATTGCTAGGACAAAATATCTGGGACAGTCTCCTCAGGAGGAAGGGGCATTCAGTATCCTTTTAAGGGTGTAATCCTAATGACCTAATTCCAAGTAGGCCCAACCTCCTAAAGTTTATACAACCTTGCAGTAATTCCATCATCTGGGGACCAAGGTGTCAACACATGAGCTTTTAGAGGACATTTAAGATCCAAACCATGACAGATGCTGAATTCAGTTTTGATCTGGCTTATCTTCCTATAGAAAGTGACATTTAAGCTAACCTCTGAAGGTATGCATTGAACTAGGAAACCATAGCAGTACAGAAGCCAAAGGAAGACAGTATACTTTCAAAGAATGGAAGAGTGGCAATTCCATGGATGCACTAAATAAAACAAACAAAAAGGAAGAATGAAAGAGTGCTAAAAAGTTCAGAGAATATAATTGAAAAGTAATTTGAAGTTAAGGAGAAGTTTACTGATTACCTTGGAAAATTAAAATTTTAGGTAGAGTGGTAGGATGGGAAACCAGGCTACATGGCTGAAGAGTCATTGACTTGAAGTAGGAAAGGAAGTGGAAGCAATGAATGTAAGTGACTCTTAGACGAAATTCAGCTGGATAAGTGGCAGGATAAGATGGCAAAAGGAGTAACGTGGGCTGTAAGTTAGAGAGTATTATGAGCAGTAGCATCATAACAGAACTTGTTCTTTTCTCATCATTATTAGACTAATATACAAGGATATGTTTAACTTCATCAGTTTTAAAAGTAACTGTCACTTGAAATTCCTCATAAAGCTTTATTAAATGGATGAGTGATTTTTTTTTTTGCCATCCGCAGATTTGAACTCAGGGCCTTGTGCTTGCTAGGCAGATGCTCTGCAACTTGAGCTCTGACCTGTTCCCAACCCCACCACCTCCCTGTTTGTCTCTGTCTCTCTTTCTGCACTTGGGGTTGAATTCAGGATCTTTCGCTTGCTAGACCAAGTACTCTACAACTTGAGCCACTTGCCAATTCTTTAGATATTTCTTCTTTTTTAAACATTTTATTAGTATATGATAGTTATGCAGGGGTTTTGTTGTGACATTCCTATGCATACATATATTGTATCCTGGGTTGGTTCATCCTCTTCATTATTTTCTCTTCTCCCACTTCCTTTCTCAAAATGACTGATAGGTTTCAATGTTCCATATTCATACATGTGTGGAAAGTGCCTCAACCAAATTCATCTTCCTTTACCCTCCCTGCCCACTGTTACTCTCCCCTTAACATTACCTGTTTTGCATTGTTTAAGTGTCTGCTCAATGTTGAGTGGGGTTTTGCCTTGGTATTTTACCGTAAACCTATTGTACTTTAGTCAGTCAAACCCTGTCTATTTCGCTTCCTCATCCTTTCCCTATCCTGTACTGTTGAGCAGTTTGCAGTGTGTTTCACTGTGTCTTGTTCCTACACATTGTAGTGCATCTCAGTATTGCTCACTCCCTGTCATTCTTTTCTTCTTTTACTACTTCCTTAGTCTTCTCTAAAAGTCTCATTTTTGGAAACATGTTCTGTATATATTTCTATGTATATATGATAATGCTTGTATTTGTATTTGGATCTATGTTAAAACTTGAATAGGGTCTCACGTTTATGCTCAGGCCAGCCTGGACCTTTATCTTTCTATTTACACTTCCTGTGTAGCTGAGATAATAGGTGTGTGCCGTGCTGGACAGGCCATGTCCAGCTTTTTATTGGTTGAAATGGGGTCCTGAGAACTTTTTGTCCAGGCTGGCCTTGAATTGTGATCCTCTCGAATTCCACCTACCAAGTAATTTGGATTTTAGGTGTCAGCCACTGTGCCCAGCCTGGATGAGTGATTTCCTTTACTTACATTGTATGATTCTCATGTTTTACTTCCACTACTCTCTTTAAATGTTTATAACTTTCTTTTATTTACATTTATAGTCAGAACATCTATCCTTCTAGAAGACAATTTTTATAGTGCTACATGAAAATAGGCTTTTAAATGAATGCTTTTGGTAGTTTACTTTATAGTTCTTTAAAGTTAACTATCCTGAATGGTCTCTGCTTTGAATTTCCTAAGAATTTGGAGCACATGTAAATTTATAAGTTCACTACCACCACCTGTGTTTGGACTAACTCAGGAGCCTCTTTTTGGGGGGTAGGGAGGGAGTAGGATTAGGGTTTGAACTCTGGGCTTTGCACTTGCAAAGTATATGCTCTACAACTTGAGCTACACCTCCGGTCCATTTTGCTCTGGTTATTTTTTATTTAGTTATTTTTTGGACATGGCATCTTAGGAACTTTTTGCCAGGGCTGGCCTCAATGGAACCTCTGTCCTCCCCATCTCAGCCTCCCAAGAAGCTAGAATCACAGGTGTGAGACACCGACACTGGCTTCAGGAGTTTCTTAACTCTGGCCACAGTGACTTGTTTTGAATCAAAGAAGCTTAAAAAGTAGCTGCACTAGCCCATCATTCTACTAGGAAATGTAGCATGAGCTACAATAGCTTACTCTTACGCAGTGTGTAATTTCTGTTTTCAAAGAATAAAATAGGTAAAGGCAGAGTCTCATTTCCACCTTTAAGTCCCCAGTGGAATTCTGGTGTTCCTGGCAACACTGCTTGAAAACATCTATTTTCCTTTTTTACCCATTTCATTTTCTTCCTGAGAAAACCAGTGCCTGGATTATTTACCATGTTTATAAACGAAATGACTGTAATTTTGGAGATTATATGGACAATTTGGTGAGGGAAAAATGTTCCTTAATGTTTGTATTATAGCTGTTGAACATCAGTTGCTGTATGTGGAGAGTTGTAGAGATAAATGAAAACTTCAAATGTATTATTTCTTTACACTGCTTCTTCAAGACCATGATTTTTGTTACAGATAATATTTCATAGATTCCTAATGTATTCTTTTTTGTTTTATTTATGCCATAAAGAGGCATGAGTTTAATCCTTGAGTTAGGGACAGCAGGGAGGATGAGGAACAAACATGTCAAGGACGAGGGAAAGGGGAAGTAGGATGGAACAGATGGAAGAAATTTGTGTTCATGATGATGACAGACTCCATGGCACAATGAGTATATGTCTTTAGGGCCACAGGTGAGGCTTTGCTTTATCTTCACACGTGTGTGTGTAACTTACTTTTTCTAATTTATCTTGTTTAATCTGATTAAAAAAAAAGTTACTGAGAAAGAAACATTTAACAAATAGTCTTTCTTTTCATCTTTTGTTTTTAAACTGTCTTGCTGCGTGGTTCAGGCTGGCCTCCATCTCATGAACATGCTTCATCAGCCTTCTCAGAAATACCACATCTGGCTTTTATCTACCTTTTTATTTTCTCTTAATGGGACCTAAAGCAAAAGCCAGAGTAACCATTGTGACCATTAATGCCTCACCTTGGCTAGGGATGAAGCTCTGTGCTAGAGTGTTTGGCTAGCATGAGTAGGTCTGGGATTCAATTTTCCAAGTAGTCATTTTGGAGTCGTTGAAATATTTAACGTATTTGTCCCTTTTCATTATGGCTACTTAGAACATACTAGCCACTTAGAAAAAACAGTGAAGTTACAAATACCATGTATAAGAGCCGCAAAGAGAGAGTAAGAGCGAGGAATAGCCTTGGCAAGAAATGTGAAAGATCTGTATGAAGAAAACATTAAGTACTTAGACATGAAATGATGACTTAAATATTTGGGAAGTTAGAAGAATAGTCAGAAAACTATCGAAACAAATCACTTGGAGGGAGAGAGAGCACAGTGAGGATTAATCCTACCAGATACAAGAATAGGCAGAGACAACAATGTATCAAATGCATGAGATGGATTTATGTATTATACAGGAGGCATTTGAAATAATGTGGATTATTTAATAAGTGATATTGAACAACTTGATAGCCACCTGGGATAGAAGTAGATTCCTACCTAGCTCCTTATCCTAAAGTTACTTAACCCAGAAGCCATAACTTTACTGTATGTAAGGAAAGTGCTTCTGCATGGCAATAAAATGTGAAGACTCAGATTAAAACTGGGACAATATTATTTCATAATTATAAATGACCAATTTCCTAAATAAGTTAAAATGTTCCCCCCTCCAAGTCATTGAGGAAAATGCACAGAAAAGATAGACACCTTTAAATCTCTTCCCCCCAAGTTTTATAAAGCTTCACTCATAATAAGAAATTCAAATCAAAGCTAATAAAGTAATTAATTCATTTTTCACCTATTAGGTTGTCAGAGATCTGGGAGTTGGATAATATCTATGCTGACGTGGGTGTGAGAAACACATCCTCATGCACAGTCTGAATTCCTGTCACCTCTTTTGAGGGAAATCTGCTACTGGTACTGCATCAAATCGAAATACAGTCCTTGTTATCATGTCACTTGTAAACATTAGTTGTGAGATACAGTCACATGATCCTATCAATGCACCAGGAAAAAAGTCTAAATGTACACTGGACTGTTTAAATGAATTGTGGTACCTTCCTGTAGCTGTTAAAGAGAAGTAAACCAAGTTATCAATATGGAACCATATCAGAAATCTGTTTAATTAAAGAAAAACAAGGTCAGGAAGAGAGCATGAGGTGCTCACTGTGTGTGAGCATTAAAGTATCTCTGGAAGAAATACTTTACATAAGAAATGGAAACAGCAGTTGCTTCTATGTAAAGGATACAGGCAAGAGACAGGGATGAGGGAGACTTAGTTTTCAACATAAACTCAGTTGTGAAAAGAACTTTTTGTTTGGTAGTAAGGAAATGATGTTTCACTGTGCTGCCCACGAAGTATATCAGCTGCTCAGTCACAAGGACCCTACTGATGCTCAGTGCAGATCCACCGTGCAGTGCAGCCCAGACCCCTTTGCTCAAGTGATGCTCATGGCCCCGCCTCCCTGTAACCAGGAGAGCAAACTGTGCTGTCTCTGTTTTTTTTTTTAAATAATAAAGGGTGTTTTTTTTTTTTTTTATCTGAGACCCACACTGTATTACTTATTAATTCAAATTAATACTAAGTACTGTAAAGTGTTTTTTAAATAAGCAAAACAAGGTAATCATTATCTGAAACTTTCTTAAATACATACTCCTCCAGATTCTTAAATATTAAAGTTGTTGATTAATATAACATTATAGAATGCAGTATACTTTATTTTCACCATCTTTCAAGCTTTAGCATTTCAAATCAGATAAGTAATCTCAGATTAGAATAAAATGTTACTGTTATTCTTAGCTATTTATAATAAATCTTTTGCTTTACCATACGGTTTTGTTTATTTTCTAGATTGGCTACATTTTGTGTAGTTCCATGAAGTCCTGTATTTGCATGGCATTTTTTAGAATAAACAGGTCATTGAAATACAACTCACATACTGTCAGATTCACCTATTTAAAATGGTTTTCAGTGTATTCGCTTCTTGTGTAACCATCACAATTAATTTTAAAACACTTTGTGACTCCTCAAAGATACTCTATGTCCTTTTATGTTCTCTCATTTCCCACAAGTCTCCCAGGGCTATGCAGCCACTCATCTTTCCCTTCTCTAAGGATTTGACAGTTCTGGACTTTTTATATGAATGGAGTCAAACATTATGTGGTCTTTTGTGTCACTTAATGTAATGTTTCCAAGGTTCATCCATGTTGTAACAGTTCTTTTGGTAACTGGATATTCTATTACATGGATATTTCAAATTGTGTTTATCCAATGCTTGATGAATATCTGGGTTGTTTCTAATTTTTGGCTATTATTAATGATGCCACTATGAATACTTATGTAAGAGTTTTTATATGGATGTATATTTTCATTTCTTTTGAGTATATATTACCAGGAGTAGAGTAGAGGGTCATACATAACTCTGTGTTGAGTATTTTGAGACATTACCTGATTATTTTCCAGAGTTTCAATATGGGAACTAGGGTTGTAGTTCAGTGGTAGAGCCCCTGCATAGTATGCACGAGGCCCTGGGTTCAATCCCCAGCATCCCCCAAATATAAATAAAAAATAACCAAAGTTTCATTACCATTTTAGGTATGGTTTTTTGTTTGTTTTTGACAGCACTGGAGTTTTGAACTCAAGGCCTCACCTTTGTAAGGCAGGTGCTCTACCACTTGAGTGACGCCCCATTTTACATCCAAATGAATAATGGATGAGGGTTCTATTTCGTCCACATCCTTACTTGTTATCTTTTTTTTTTTTAATTGGCTGTCTTAGTGTGTGTGCAGTGGTGTGCCTAGTTGTGGTTTTTATTTACATTTCCATGGTGTCTAATCACATTGAGCATCTTTTATGCTCATGATAGGCTTATATTTAATATAGATGTATTGTTGCCTGCCTTTCCTAAAAATTTGTAGATATCTACCATAGGTGCATTTCTTATTAGTTTTTTATTGTGTGCGTGTGTGTTCATTGTATTTGCCTATCTAGATTTCATCACCTAGAAGTTCATTTTTGGAGCCCATCTCTTTTTGTCCAGTTGGACATTTTAGCCACTAGGAGAAATGTGACTTCTCAGAGTCTTGAGTCACCTATGTAGTAATTTTTTTTCTTTTTGATAATGTCTTTGTTAAAGTCGTGTTTTATTTTTGTTGCAGTACTTCACTGGCCTTGAGTGTGGACATAAGTTTTGTATGCAGTGCTGGAGTGAATATTTAACCACCAAGATAATGGAGGAAGGCATGGGACAGGTAAAGATGGCCATCTGATTTTCAGTTTCGTTGAATTTCTTGTAATGCTAGACTAGTATAAACTAGTATAAACAAGTTTTTCTAGATTAAAAACACTAAAAGATAGCAGGCTGTTTTCTGTTACCATGTGACATTCTAGTTAAAAATCTTAAGTTTTCTCAGTAAGCATCAACATTGGCTAATCTTGGTGAGCAATTTGTCAGATACTTTGCTTTCACCTTTCATGATTTGTGCTGAAAAACCAGTTACTCAGATCAGTATTCTGTTTACTTTATGATGATAAGTTCACTCATGCGCGCACGCGCGCTCTCTCTCTCTCTCTCTCTCTCTCTCTCTCTCTCTCTCTCTCTCTCTTTTCTTTCAGTAGAAGGTATGGAGATCCTACAGACATTAAAGCATCACCAGAACCTAGCAAGTGCCTGGCAGTGGTAAACATTCAGTAAATACTTGATGAATGAAAACATAGTTTAAATTTCAATCTCTTTCAGACTATTTCGTGTCCTGCTCATGGTTGTGATATCTTAGTGGATGACAACACAGTTATGTAAGTATTTTTGATGGTTTCTGCATGTTGGATACTGGCTAGTTAAACCAAATTAACTTTGGCTCAGTATCTCAAAGAAGGTGAATTTTTAAATCTGAAGAGACTTTCTAATCTATATTCCTTTATAATACAAAAATACAGACTGGAGGCATGGCACAAGTGGTACCTGCCTAGCAAGTGCAAAACCCTGAGTTCATACTACACAACCCACCCCACCCGCATTCCACTCCAGAAAGAAAGAAAGAAAGAAACTTGACTAAGTGCCCAATATTCTGGTAAATTTAGCAATGCAAGATAACAAGATTTTGATAAATCTTAGAATTGGACAATGGGATATGTCACTTCGGTCAGTCGATATCATCTGAGAAACAGATGCTAAGATAAGCTTAAAAAAAGAAAACAGCCGGGCTCTGGTGGCACATGCTGTAATCCCAGCTACTCAGGAGGCAGACATGAGGAGGATTGTGGTTCAAAGCCAGCCCTGGGCAAAGAATTATGAGACCCTATCCCGAAAAAGGGCTGGTGGAGTGGCTCAGTGTATAGGCCCTGAGTTCAAAAGCCCAGTACTGAAAAAAAAGAAAAAAAGAAAACTGAGTGTTGTGGAGTATGCCTGTAATCAGCAGGTAGAGGTAGGAGAATCACACATTCAAAGCCTGACTGGGCAAAATTAGTGAGACCCTGTCTCAAAAACAAGATGAAAACAAAAGGGCCAGGCAAATAACTGAAGTGGTAGAACTTGCTTAGCAAGGATGAGGCCCTGGGTTCAACCCCAGTACTGCAAAAAAAATGGCATTAGGGGATATGGCAAAGATGTAAGGGTTGGGAATACCTGTAACTCATTGGTGGAGTGCTTGCGTCAGTCTCCAGCAAACGCCACCACCACCAGGTGGCCAAAAGTAAAAGGAAAAGAAACTCTGAGTGTGAGAGTATGGGTGCAGGATTAAGGGGAGAAACAGTACAAGTTGGGTGTCTGTTAACAGAGAGAATGAAGAAGTCTGCAAAAGGAAGAGACTCAGGCCAAGGTGCAACCGTGAGAGTCTCTGGCAGCCCTAGGGGGAACTCCAGCACATAAATTTCCTGTTGAAGAATGTCTCCATTGCAGAAATGGCCGGCCCAGGTACTTTGCTGTGCTGTCATTGGCTGAGACTACACAGGGAGAGTGTTGTCTCTCCTCAAATACTGCTGTGATCTTAGAGGCACTATAGCCAAAGGCTCTCAGCTAACTACTCTCATTGTAAGAGGGTCTCTTTGAAGGGTAAAAGAAACTTGAAAGAAGCTTAGTGACTTCCTAAGCCTAGGGTAAAATCCCAGCTTGCTTTCTTACTGAGTCAGTGCTTATTTTCATAACCTCAAGTTACTAACGGACCTCATTTCAGCTTGATGAACAGACTGAGGGCTTAAGTGATCCACAAACAAGTTGTATAATTATTCCTGGGCAATTGGCTATTCAGAAAGGTGTATCTGTAATAAAAGGCAATAAAAGTAAAACCAGCCATGTGCCTTAATGAGTGAATTTCTTAGCCTAGCAAAGGCATAAACTGACTTGACCAACAGTTTATAAAGCTTACTGATTCTACTTTCTTAACCTCAGTTTACTTGGTTTATTTGCTGCTATTACCAGCTCTGTGTTAATCCTGGATCTATCTTCAGTAAATCTTTTTTCCCGTTAGCTTTTTATGCAATCAAAAATAAGTTACATATCACCATAGAGGACCACCATTCTTCCAGTTGTCTTTATGTTGTCCCCTGGTTCTTTTTCATTCCTTGTGTTTTCATCAGTACCTCAGTTTAATTGTATATTTCATCAAAATAAGTCCCTGTATCCTTTCATACATTCCACAAACATTTACTGGGAGCCTCTTTCCTAGCACATATATACAGGGAAACAAGAAAGTTAAAATGCGGTGTCTTTTCCCAAGAGGTTCACAACAATAAATAACTATAATGCAAGAGGTTAAGTAAAAGGTATATAGAAAGTACTGTTAGAAAGAAATTATTCTCCCTGAAGAGTTTAGTAACATAAAAGGAATAAAAATGAAGGTTGAGGGAAAGGTGGGTAATATTGGTTAAACAAAATACTGGGAAAAAAATGTCAGTTTTTAAGTAGTCATGAACTTTTCTGTTGAGTGTTCTCTGGTGGCTAGAGCCTAGGGTAGTAGGATGTTGTTAGAGATGAGATAGTTACGACTGTGACAGTAAGATTTGCCCTGTTGAAATACAAGTTTGTAGTGTAGCATGCTTTAGAGTAGAGAGAGGGGTGATATTTAGGCAGTGAAACTTGTTTATAAGGCCATTGCAGTTAGGTTAAAGGTGAAAGTGTGGAAGTTGGAATTCCAGTGGGGAGCCAGTAGAAATAACAGAATTTAAAGACAGATTGGTTGTAGGATATGAAAAAAATCTAGTACAAATCTGCAATTTTTAGTTAGTAAGCAAGTAAGTGACAGCTGAATTAATAGGAGAAGCCATCACTCTTGGGAAGAATGTAGAATGAGAAAATGAAAGACTGAGGTCTTAGAGATTAAAATTTAAAGAATGGGGGAGCCAGTGAAAGAAATTAGGTGATGGTTTGAGAAAATAATATAGGAATCAAGGGAGTAAAGAATGTCAAGAGGTCACTAATGATGTCAATTCCAGCAAAGGTATGAATGAGAACACCATTGAAAAGAGATCATTGGAGTTTCCTGTTACAAAAGCAACTTCACTAGTTGGGTGATGTTTGAAGTGGTGAATTTAATCATGATTGGAAAATGGAAACAAGTATGGTAGTTCAGGGAAATGAATGTTCTTGATTTTATCTGCAGTGGTCTGCATATTGAGTTATGTCATTGTAGAGGATTTAGAACATCTTTGTAAATCAAACAAATTGATCTGAACCTATAAATGTCACTATCAGTAACAAACTTGCAGCATTTATTCATATATTCTTAGGATATCCACAGTGTGGTAAGAATTATTTTTCAGACTGTGTGCGATGGAGCTTTCTTGTGGGACTTCTTTTTTCTGGGTTCAACAGAGAAGCTGATTGTCCTATCTGTCTTATGTAATGGCTTGTTTGTGGAGACAAATTTTTGCTATATAGCCATTGTGGCCTTGAACTGCCTCCGTCTCCTGAATGCTGGGATTACATGTGTGCACCATACCTGTCTTGGGTTATGATGTTGTTTGGGAGAGAACTGGATGGAAAATGGACAGAATATATCACCTAATTTCCTTGATATTATGGGGCTCTTAGAAATCAGTGGGAAGAAGATACTCCCATGTAAGGCAGGCAGGCACAAGCAATTCAAAGAGAAAGAAATTTAAACTGAAGTACCTGTCTTGCTTAATTTAATAAATGTATGTCAAAATAAGATTCTCTAAGTTTTTTTTTTTTTTAAGCATTTCATATTGATAAAGGATTGAAGAATTTGGTAATGTTTAGTGTGAGTGAGAGTAACGGAGGATACTAGGGAGTATCAGTGGTTGAAGCATTTATGGAATGCTGTTTTGCAATTTCTAAAAATTTATATGCCGTTTGGCCATCCGGTTGGTTCCAGCCTTTTGGATGTGTTAGTCCTCTGATTTTTTGCCTCCCCGTTTCTGATGAGTCTGTTAGTATTCATGTTGGCCGTCGCCTCTTGGTTAATGCTTTAGAGTTCCTGTGTCTTTAACTTAAAAGAATTTGACTATGACTTGTGTAGATTTTATACATGTGGTTCTCTGTGTTTATCCTATGTGTAACTTTTTGAACTCTGAGATGTTGAGGTTACTGTTTTTCATAAGTTTTTGTTTTTATTTATGTATTCATTTAGTTTGCCATCTTGGAAATTTGTGTTGAACCCTTCAAGTCAAGTTTTCACGTCAGTTACATGTTTCATTTTTCAGGGTTAGGAATTGAAGTTATTGTGCTTTTCATCTGTGGGATTTCTAGTTGTTACTTTTCTATAGTTTTTATTTATTGAGATTCCACATTTGTTGACTTTAATTATTAAAGTTAACAATGTAATTTCCTTTAAATCTTTGGACTGCTTAGAAGTGTTTGCTCATTCTTAACATTTGGGACACCTCATGTCATGTGACACTTACTCTTTATGTTTAGTTTATAATTTTTAGTTGAAATGGACATTTTTGGGTAATAAACTACACTGTTTCTTAAGCTTATTAGCCTTCATTTTCTTCCCTGCTTCCCTCCCTTTCTTTCTGGTCTTTTAACTCTTCCCCCCACCCTTTGTCTTTTGAAATAAATATACACTATTTTTATTAGTGTATATAATTGTACAAAGGGGTGACACCATGTTTCACACATGAAAATATCATACATTCATCTGATTAACCCCGTCTGTACCCCCCTCCATTTTTCAGCAGCTTTCAGTGAGTTGCTTTGTGCTGTTTCATATACAGACACAATGCATTTTGGCATTGCTCCCCAACCTGTCATTCTCTTTCCCTTTTCCCCTCCCCCCCATCCTCCACATAGTCTCTGGATTACAGTCATGTTTTTTCGTTAGGTCTAGATTTCACACATGAGAGATAACATTTGACCTTGGTTCTTCTGATCTGGTTTACTTTTTTAACATGATAATCTCCAGTTCTATCTGCTTTCCTGCAGATGCCGTGATTTCATTCTTCATGGCTGAATCATACTCCATTGTGTACATATGCCACATTTTCTTTATCTATTCATCCATTGAAGGGCATCTAGGCTGATTCCAAAGCTTGGCTGTTGCTCTACCTCTTGAGCTATGCCCCAAGCCCTTCAGTTTTTATTTTGTTTTTAAGATAGGGCTTGTTTCAAACTTGTGATCCTCCTGCCTCAACCTTTTGTGTAGCTAGGATTCTAGGTGTGTGCCATCACACCTAGCTAAGGAGTTCATCTTAACTCCTTACTATGTACAATGGGGAAGTTACAGTTAAGGTAACTTCCTGTCTGGTATAATTACATTATCACCTTTATGGTTATTTTGTGTTCTGTCCCTGATCCCTTCATGCTTTGGCAGTAGTTTAATCAGACAGTTATAAGG